AAATTTTCAGAAAGATAATACATAATGCTTTAGATTAAGTTGAACATGAAACTCAAAATGTTTGAATAAAATCAAAACATGAATATGAACTGAAAGACCATTTGAACAATCTGTTTGACGTGCCTTCTTCATTTTGTTATATTGTTCCGCAAAAATACATGGCCGTGCACGAATGATTTGTCCATCAACTTCTGTGATGAACATTTCATACTCACGTTTTCCATCGGCTAATAAATTCATTACTGGATAGTCCTTCCAAATATCTTGCATTTCTGCATAACCTTTTGTAATTAACCAGCTCGCCAATTCAACTTTATCATTAACGTTATTAACTTCATCAGCTTCGAAGCCATTCTTTTCATTTAACTGCTTCTTGGGTACCACAATCTGTTATCGTCAGCTATTAGTTTTCAAAAAATTTTATGAATGAAATATTTCAAAAATGTAATGACGAAAATGACATCCATCAATCGTAATTCTTAAAAAAATAAATAGCGTTAGTCGATATACTGAAATAACGTCCTAGTGTGCTTTTTTTTCATAAACAACTAACCCTAATAGGAAAAACTCCATCCATATTCGGGCTACCAACAGCAGCTTCAAATGAAGTGGAAGGAGATAACAAGCCGTCGATGCATTTCTGTACCTCTTCAGGCCAACTTTCCTTACGATTTAAAGGTCGAACACCGTCGATTCGGCATCGGATACCTTGTCGAGGGGTATAAAGTATTTCCTAAAAACTAAAAAAATTAGACAAGCATTTAAATAAACAAATAATTTATAAACCGCGCAATAAATTACAACGTTTACTATATCTTTGATTTCTAATATCAGTTTCAAAATTCAAAGTAATTAGTATACAGAAATCACATCATTTTTTTTTTAGAAATATTGAATAATAAAAGCGTACATGATTAGATTGGTATAAAACTAAATGCAACTTGTTACTGAACTCGACTACTTCATACTGGATGAGTAAATGTGATTATATTATATTACTTTAATAATTGTTCCTTGCTTTATGAATTTGATTGATGAAGCCGTGCTAATTTAATTCAAAAATCAACTTATAAGTTATTACCCGATGGAAAAAAGAAAAAATAAATGAAATAAATTTACATCAGGCTGTTCGTCCCTGTCTAGTGCGAACAATTCTTCTTTCTTGCAAAGGCTTTCATTACCATAATCAACATAATACACACGATATGCTATATCATCATCATTAATTTCAGTGCCAATGATTTCTGCCCGGTATGGCGACTCCTCGAAATATGAAATAACAACATCGCCAATTTGTGGCGTTTCTACCGGTTTTTTGCTATCCACATATTCATTGATTAACTGAAAATTAGGAAAAAACCATTTAAAACTTTTCTTTTTTTCACAAGAAATAGGACAGTATGAAGTCTTCTTTTTTCGGAAATATAATGTTATTCCATGTATTAAGTCTACATGAATAACAAATTGTTGTTCTATGGGTGGAAACTGGTTCGTATCACCTGTTTTATGCTGGCTACACTGTTTTTACAATTCGCCTTAAAAAAATAAACCAAAAAATGCGATTGAGCATTTCTCTGCAACTGCCCAATAAGAATATCAATAACGTGGGGAAAAGTTGGAAAAATTAAAAAAAGGGTGATTCTTCTTTCTGCACAAACAAGAAATTCGAAATCATAAAAAGAAATCCTAACCTATTAGAGTAGATAAATTCAAATTTTAGATGTTTTAATGCTTACATCTTAAGTTATAACTCACCCGCTCAAGCTGCGAAATGCCATCTGATAATTGAACAGTAAAAATAGGACGAACATGATCAAATTCGTCAGATCGAAGAACATCCAATGTTTCATAAAGCGGCAATGATGGTCCGATACCCCATTTAAATGGAACAGCAAAACCTCTGGAAATCATTCTTATTATATCAAAAACGCTACCAAATCTCAGTGACAAACTGAAATGTTGGTAATTTCTAGAAATCTGAAGAGCATCACTGGCACCTTGAGATCAGAATATCGGAAATGAAACGTCCATTGTTGAGCATAACCGTTATTTCATAGATACCTTTGACTGATTGCTGCATGAAACATATGGACAGCTTTTGATTAGCGATCAATTCTGAGAACAACTTTCGTGCTTCAGAATCGAATGTATGCTAAAAAATAAATTAAATTTGCATCAGAAAAATTTCGAAAAATATAGAAAACTGTAATGTAAGTTCTTTAGGAATTATACCACAAAAAAGATTAAAATCATCCAATGTGGGCTTCATTTCATTCCACGGTACTTCCGAAATATCATTTCTAATAGCTACCACTAGATCTCGTAGAATTCCATAATGTTAGCTATTAAAGTATAACACATTAACATGTTTTTTTTTCATATAGTAGAGATATCATCTTTTCAAATTATTTAAAGCCTCAATTCCAACTGATAATGACTGCAAATTGCAAAAACGTTTCCAGTTTTCGCACGAAAATGTGAAAAGATTTCTACAATTTTAAAACTCAAAGACTTTTATTTCAATAAAGTTAAAAATGCAATAACTTTATATTTTGTACTGTTTGAACAACTAAATTATTCACTCAGGCATTTTAATTAGTTATATCTTTTAGGGGCGTAATAAAAAATCATTATTATCAAATTTTCAATAACAAATTACTAAAAAACACAAATGTTTCAAGCAAATAACTAAACTGACTTTAGAAGCCACTGGCATGATACCGTGCAACCGACAATGGAAGGCTAATCTTCTTGATGTACAGAATTGACTGGGAAGGGAATCATTGATAACGTAAAGCAATTCAGATGTTTCCATATCTTCCACATTACCATAATCAACGAACAGGATTCTTTTCCTTCAAAAAAATAAATAACTTTTAATTTCATTTGTTTACAATCTGCTGAGAATAATAGAAACACGAGGAAAGCTGACGAGTGACAAGAGAAACTGCTTAGAAATTTCGTAACAAGCTTACAAAAAAAAAAAAAACTCTTACATATCAAGTTCCTTACTGTGAAACAAAGAACTGCATATACAGAAGTGCTACATCTCATTAACGTTTCAGAATGCAATAAAATATAAAACTTATGTTTTTTTTTTTTGGGTGATGAATAAAACACTCATCACAGAAACACAATAAAATGCATCTTAAAAATTATCCCGTACTATATCAACGAATGAATTTTGCATTTCAAGCTTGAAAACATACTTAGTGTTATTTTCTATGCCAATGATTTCCGCTCGATAGTAATTTCCCATGAATGGAGCAATACAAACTTGAGAAATTTCGAATGAAGATAGCTTTGGAAGGTCAACTGACAACTGTGCATCCGACAACACCAAATGCTCAATGTTATCTTTATCACGATCTAACTGCACGAAAAATGATAATGGATCAGCTTCTGCCTAAACATAGCATAATATAATTGAACAGGAATGACTTTAAAAAAAATATATAATTTTAATTAAATTGATAAAAAGAAAAATGGTGTAATGAAGAATTGCCAATGTTCTTAAAGACAGATCAGCATACTGTTTTTGCCTACAAATAAAAAAACCGATACCGACAAGAATGCTGTTTAATTAATAATCTAGTGCAGTGATAAGCAGAATAACGAATTTGCAAGAATTCGAAAAATGATATAAATCTCACCGAGTTATCTGAGTGTATACCACCAACAGTATCACCGAATTTGATTTCTTCAAGGCTTGCTGATTCGATATGAGTAAGTGTGTTCGATGCCAAGTGGATATTATTTGATTTAATTGGTATCTAAATAATATTTTTTTTACCAAGATTGAAAAAAGAACTCAACTTAGCAGTAATGAAAGCAAATGCCCGAAACGTCTATGAAACTTTTATCGACTAAAAATTTCTGCACAAATTATCCAGTAAAAGAATGACTCCATCAAGTTAAAAGATAAAAAAATAAATGAAAAACATCAGGTAAGAAAAGCGACTACTCAAGCAAATAGAAGTTTTCCAGGAACATCATGCACTATGATCTTCCTCACGACCGAATGATGAACAGGAAATAACATTTAGCGTTCATTAACGCTACTAAAATCTGTATGTCAGTTCTCACGCTATGCTCTCCTGTTAAATACAGAAACAAAGACACCATTAAAATATAGGAAGAAAAAAAGAATCTCATTTCCCGCTCTTCGTTCTTTAAACACGATTCAGGATTTTGAGTATACAGTAGTCTTCCTTGAAATTTTAGAAACGTATGCAAACTTCTATTTCAGAACCATTCAACGCTCTATTAGACAGTGCATCTGTTCATGCTGTGTTTAATTAAGAGATAAAGTAAAAAAGATGAAGATAAGAAAAAATGAAAACAAGATGCGAGAAAGACGAGAATATCATACGGCAACAGCAGCAAAATTTCTGGAAATAATATTAATAATAACGAAATCATTGAGAAATGTAAGAAAAATATCCACAAAGCCTTAGTAGTCTCGGTTATAATTTGATAATCTAGAAAAAAAAAGCCATCTGCAACATAAATACAGCGGAACAAACGTATAGTTAGACCAAAATAAACGTTTTCATAAATTGGAAAAACATTGCATGCAGTTGCTCGCAGTGATTTAGTAATTTATTAACTGAATTACCTCATAATTTGAATAAGTTCCATCCGATGTAGTTTCAGTTCCACTGGTTACTTCAGTATCAGGTTCCAAATCGAGTTGCAGTGAAACGCCAAATGCATTTATCTGTAAATTTTCGGGAGATTCATTTAAGTAATAAAATCTTCAATTATTTAAAATCTCAAATACTTAAAGCTGATATACTAAATGTACAAGTTAATGAAGAAGAAAACGAATAAAGTGGCACGAACAACTGTGGCATATTATTTTTCATTACTGTTAAATTAAAGTGAATAATAGTCAAGTTCATCCGAGCTCACTCATTTGTCAAGATATTGAACTACTGAAGCTAACAAGAATGCAAACAAGATATAGACAAATATGTAAGTCAATTTCTTATAATGTCATCTTGTCTCATTTAATTTCCTGCTACTGGTAGATTGCTCCTAATCTTTCTTCCACATCCACTTACCAGATTTGTAGACAAGGTCTCTTCCCACTTTGAAATCTCAAATTTCGCTTCATAATTAGATGTCATAAAGTGAAACAGAAAACATAGTGACTTATAAGAAAAAATAAGATGTCTAAATGTAAAGTGAATTTAAAAAAGGATAAAAGGAAATCTTACAACTTAATTATTCACAAGAAATAGAGAAAAAGAAAAAATTAAAAATGCATGCACGTTTCTTACAGATTCTGCATCTCTGTCGTTTCCAACACCATCAAAATCATTGCGTGCCGAATAAGCTGTAGAATTTCTCGATATTTTTTCGGATGCTTCGATTTGATTCCTATTCTCAAGAAGATCGCAACTGGCATTATTTATTTCCCAACCTCCTTCATTCACAATCCAATTTTCTGTATCGTTTTTTTTATTCACCTTTTCCCCGAAACCATTGTTCAAAGAGCAATTCAATTCACTTTTCGTTGCATTTATATTTGATACGGCTGTCCAATTACCTGACTTCCAACCGCTTTTGTCAGCAGAGGTATCATCATGCTGCAGTGAAACTTTTTGACTTATAAGCGAAAAATTGTAAATTGTAAAAAAAAGAATTGCAGAAGCCAAGAATTGTAAAATAAGTACAGAATAAAAAAAAGTGTATAGAAGAAAATATATTATACGTGAAAAAACAAACATGGGTATCACGATCAAGGAACGGACGGGGCGATTGATCTCTTCTGCCAGATAAACGCACTGAACGATCCCCTGTAAGTTTCGTTAAAATTTTTATAAAGTCTTTTTTCGGCATTATTTGGCAGGCGTTAAAACGTTAAAATTTGAAACATTGGATTACCAAAATTATTTCTGCTTTTCGATTCACTAAGTCCTGAACTAAAACAGCCACTATTTTTAGGTCCTCTGGTTCCATTACTGCTGGCACGAGAAGATCCATTAAAACAATCATTATCAACGAATTTTCGTCTTTCATTGTCATACATGCTTTTATCATTAGCAAAACCACTTCTACGATAAACCGAACATTGATGAGTCGAGTATCCAGGATCCCCACAATTGCGGCGCACTGCAAAGATCACTTTATGTCCTCAGAGAAATACAATCTTATAAATTGATATACTAATTAATATGTTGCTGATAAACCTCTTCTATCGTCTACTCTTGTAGCACTTCCACCGCTATAGTCGTTGAAATTATGATTGATATTACCGCGAAAGTTACTCGAGAAATTCCCACTGCGACTTTGTTTTTTAAGGCCACTCGTTTTATTATTCTCACAAACTCTATTCCATCCGCCGTCTTCAAATTTCCAATATCATTATTTCAACTGTTACACCTATCAAAACTTGTCAGTATCGCCAAAGCTATTAATGAAATTGTTTCTCAGATCTTCAAATTTTTCAGAACTCGATTCAATCACTTTTTGCTAATGTACTGCTCATTTAACGGGGAAAATTTGAAGCAGACATTCTCGAGATTATCGGAGAAAACTATACATCCAATGAATTTCCAACAAAAAAGTAACAACTAAAAACTCAGAAATTATTTTCGAAAAACGCTCCAGAGAAATTAGAATTTTCAGAAATTTTACTGTTGGAGTCACTGTTGGGGTCGTAACCACCACCTGCAAAGAATAGGTGTTTGCAAGATTCGATATAACTTACATGAGAGCATTTCTTACACTATTTTTGCATCGAAAACTCTCCGCAAAACAAAAGATATAATATGAAACATCCTTTTGAGATTAAAATGAAGTCCTCAGAAAGACTGTAATATTCAAATAACAATTTCTTTTCAATAACAACACAATATTTCAAAATATTAAAATTTGAATATCTGCAAGATATGTATGAATGTACCATTGAATTTGAAAGCAACAAGGAGAAAATAGAGCAAAATTCCCACGTAAACTAATGTAAGAAAACATAAATTTATCAAAATCAAAGAAGGAGAACTTACTCTGGCACGCGTAATAGTCTTCATTATCCAAAAAATTCTCAATAGTAACCGCTACAAAATTTTCTTAATTTAAATTATCTATTTGAAAATAAAAGAGTGAGGAAAAAAAATGTTCTAAATGTGCAACTAAACAATAAAGAGCAATTATTCGGACCTTAAATGTCTTAATCAAAGCTTCTGTTCTTACAGTAGTGAAACGTGCAACGCAACTCAAGTAACATCATCTATGGATGATGTTACTTGAGTTGCGTCGAACGTTTCACTACTGTAAGAATAGAAGCTGCAAGGCGTAAGAGTGAGGAACCAAATGTGTTACCAGGAAGTTCATCGAAATACTTGCTTTTCCAAGATTGAATAATATAAAATATAAATAAAAAATCTCAACTGATAAAAAAACTGACGTTTCGGGGCAGGTAACGCTGGCGCTGGCCTTTCACCGAGTATTACTTCCGTGAGATTAACATTTCTATTTTTTTCATCTTTTACAAACAAATTTGCAATAAATGATTCTCCATTCTCGCTTACATCATCTAAAAAACGAATAAACGGCAACATTTAATATCGCCTTAAAACGATTATGGATGTAAAGATTAAAAATAAACAAGTGTATCTTAGCTATAAATATACGATACAGACATATGATGAAAGTTCTACAAATTCATAATTCACAATTTTTCTTCTATTTTTTTATCAAACACACAAATAGTTCGACCTGTTAACAGTTCATATATTGATTTATGATCTCAATGGCTACAACAACCAAAATGTTGAAAACTGTTTGTTAATATGATTCTAATTATCACACGACCAATGCTTTTTACTGCATTTCTATGAAAGTTTTGCTGATCTGAGTTCGTAAAAAAAAGGCATACTTATCTGTGCAGCAACAGTCTGATCAATGAGCAAATTTCTGATCTGTTCTGAGGTCAGTCGAGGTTTCTTCACATCGCTGATGATCAGTTGCACAGCTTGTGGGGGAATCGATAATAGATATGCATCCTTCAGTAAAAAAGCGTCGTTGATATTAACAGATGCCATATTCCCGTAATCAATATAAAATACCTTAATAAAAATGAAAATGAAAGAAAATTGCCTTGCAGAGTAACAGTGTCAGAATGACGATACTTTTACTGTTTGAAGCGAATAAGTGCAACAGTTGTTCTTTCATGAAAATGTAAAGAGAAAACTTACAACCATAGAATCAATACCAGCTTTAGAGCAGACAGAAGCTCGATAATAGCAGCCATCAATTGAATATCTAAAAATGCCCTTATAATTCTTGGTACTATCAAGAACAATATATATAATTAGAATATACATTACAGAATATAATCTCATGATATGAACTATTTGAAAAACTTATTTCTTATCTAAAAAATAAAAAGACTTACAATGCCGCTATGATAGTACCACATTCTGGATTGCAAAGTGGTTCATGTTTTTGTGTTGCAAGATCTCTAAGCCTTTTGCCTACTTTTATTATTGTCCGTGCATTATTCTCTAACTGTACAAATAGTCTATCAAAATCTGAAACAAAGAATCAAAACTTATGCAGTCTATCAATTCATACGGACTAAAAATAATGTTGGTCAATTATAAATATGACAACTAAAAAAATCAGCTCGAACAACTAAAATATTACCGGCAATACATGAGATACGAGCATGAATATATTCCCCAGCAATTAATGGTAATAACAAAGGCGGCAAATTGGACATCTGGACCCGTGTAGCTAATGCCCTTCGAACAGGTTCATAGAGTAAACCAAAATCATCCAAATCCTTCGATATATTCCCTTTAAAAAAAGTTCTAATGTCTACAAATTATATAAAGCGGATAATTTATAAAACAAAATTAGGAAATCAGAAAATAACTTAAGTCAAAATCAGTATAAATTGGCATATTTACATTTAAACTATTTGTAAAAGGGTTATAGAAGGATCGTATGCAACGTCATTATCAGGTGCAAAAACTTCGTATAGAATAATTTAATAAGTAAAAACATTACAACATCCAAAACTCTGCTTTCCTTCACTTGACTGCAAAAGTAATTACGTGCTTCACATACAACTCAGATAATTTTAAATCTTACAACAAATAAGTTGTCAATGATAAATGCTAAAGTAATTCAGAAATCTACTTAGTATAAGTTATAAAATCATTACAGCATCAAGCTCAAATATTAAGAATTCTTAGAAACTTCTTTCAACGAACAATGTAATCAACAAAATGGTTAACTTACTGAGAAGACATTTATAGAAAAATCCTTTCTGAATATATCCTTGTACCGTCGAACGCGGTACTACGTCACGATTGACATATGTAATCCATTCACTGTTATCTGTTTTATGCATTCTGAAAAACGCGAAACAAATCTCCTCCTCTACAAATACAGCAATGATAAATTTGTTGTTCGCTAAATGATATAAATTCAAGCACATACACGGCAAAAATTTACATACACGACAAAAATTTATATACACGACAA